TCACTGCTGAAATACTAAACAACCTGCTTCCATGGCCGAGATACAGGGCGCCCATATTATAAGGTAAGGTTATAAAACCACCATTTAAGATCATTTTAGTGAAAGTTTCATGTTCCTATCTCATAGAATTTAAGAACAATAATGAATAAATAATTTTCGAGCAAAATTTAAATGGCCGGCTGAATATATTACCGCAGGAGCCGCGGCCGCGGAATTTAAATGACCACGTCAAAGGGTTAAAAACACATCAGTATGACACAAATATGAATAGAGTAAAATCATTTCATACCTGGCTTTGAGGGAAGGTTCTGTTGTAGGAGAGATGTGACCAGCTTAAGATATGTATATACTTGTTGAAGGTAATGTAAATAATTTCCACTGCTTCTTCCATTGCCTAGATGACACACAAATACTACTTAATTCTGACAAAATGTACAAAATAATTAAAATATGGCACCAATTTATGTTCTGTATGCCATTACAATTCATCCTAACCGTGTGAAAGGGAACAGTGGGAAGACTTCAATGGACTGTGGTTGATGAAACATGTTAGAGTTTTATATTTAGACTGTGTCCATCTGGGTAATGACATCATGCAGTGTGGTAGATAAAATGGTGGTAATTACTTATCAGACTACATGGTATCATAATGCAGAAAACTACAGTATGAAAACATCAAATTTCACAGGCTATTATGAAAGGCCATTTCAAGAACTCCCAGTTCACACAAACATTAACTCTCTGTGTGCAATTTTTTCTTCGCATATAAGGAGCAGTCAAATGAAAATGGTTCACCATGCATAACTCACATGGCGTGCAAGTTGGTAACACTGGAATTTGCTTATGGTACGGACATCTGGGGGGACTCAGGAAAGCACAGTCACTTGCCCTTGCACACTAGTTGTTTGTTTATTGTGCTGGAAGTAAGGTTAGCGCTAAGTGGGGTAAAGAAGAACAGCGAAGTGTAGTGCACTTTTTGACTGCTGAAGGAGTAGGAGGCTGTGCACCAGCTGTGTCGAGCCATGACCTTGATGAATCGCTATTGAAATGGTCGGAGACGACACAGTCAGAACACAGTCGTCGCCCAGTCCAGCATGTCTGAATTACATAAACCCATGCACTACATTTCAAATGCAGACTACCGTTTAGCAATTCCATTCAAAATGACACAGTCGGTGCACAGCTCACTATGTGTGAATTAACCTTAATGGAGGTGGGTAAAGAAGAACAGCGAAGTGTAGTGCACTTTTTGACTGCTGAAGGAGTAGGAGGACGAGAAATTCATCATCGCATGTCTGTTGTTTACAGTGAACACAGTATGTCACGTTCACATGTGCTGGCATGGCATAACAGATTCCGAGAGGGATGTGTGTCACTGCAAGTTGACGCTTGCCCAGGAAAGGCTCATTGTGTCATTTCTCCTGATGTAATTTGGTGCGTAGGATGGTCATATCCAGGCAAACTGATGGATTACTGTGGAAGATATTAGTCTCTTGATGGGAATAAGTCATGGTTCTGTACACGCCATTGTGACAAAACACCTGTTGTACCACGAAATCTGCACACAGTGGGTTCCACATCAACGTGTGGAGAAACAGAAGACTCAGAGAATGGCTGCATCACTGGGTCACTTGCAATGATACAATGAGGAAGAGTATGCTTTTCTGTCCCGTATTGCCGCTGGGGACGAAACTTGGTGTCACCATTTTGAACCCGAGAGCAAACGGTGGAGCCAACAGTGGAAACATGTGAATTCTCCCCCACCGAAGAAATCCAAAGCTGTACACACAAGTTCTGGTAAAGTGATGATTATGTTCTTCGACTTCAAGGGTCCTCCGCTTGTCAAATTTCTCAAACATGTGGCCACAATCAGTGCACAGCGCTATGAAGACACTTTGCAGAAACTGAAACATGCCATATAGTCAAAATGCCCTGGAATGCTATCGAACAGCATGAACCTTCTTCATGGTAATGTGTGCCCCCACACTGCCAGCTCTGTGAGGAATACGCTACAGAGATTTGGTTGGAAGTGCTTCAACATCCTCCCTACAACCCAGATCTCTCCCCATGTGATTTTCACGTTTTTGGAGACTTGAAGAGAGACATTAGTGGACATCGGTTTGCATTGGACGAAGACGTGTGTGGCTGGGTAAAGATGTGGTTCCGTAGACAGCCCACAAGCTTTTTCAAGGATGGGATTGACCATCTTATCTCCCAGTGGGATAAATGCATTAACAGTTTTGGAGATTACTTTTGAGGTAAGAAATGTTCTTTAATATGTTTTGGCTTCTGACCCATTTTCATTTGACTGCCCCTCATATTAAGCTGTGGTGATGGACAAATGTACAACATGAGACAATCAGCAAAATACAGAGTTCCTTTAGCTATGTAAACTAACTAACCAACCAATTAAACAACTAACTTACTAACTCACTCACTCCCTTACTCAGTCATTGTTGAAACTGACAATTAAGGGATGACATGCAGCATAAACTGGAGAAAGAGGAAATACATGTGACAGTTTGGTTACAATCCTCATGAAACCTCTTGGGATTCAACATGGATGAAAGGATAATATTAAAATAGTTATCATGGAACTAGGCTGTGAGGATGTGAATTGGCCTAACATAGGGTCAAATGAACATGGAATCTTGGGGTTTCATAAAAAAAACAAAACAATATTTAATGAATGACTGAATCCCTCCCAGCTATTCATGGAATAAATATACCAAAGAGTTAGATGAAATGTCTGTCCATCTGTCCACCCTCCCATCCATCTATTTACTGCTCTACAGCCCTTGTGGACACTGCTTGCTTTTTTGGTTTCTTAATCCATACACAGTCATCAGGACTCCTTGGACAGGGGATCAGCCTGTGGCAAGGCCACTACCTACACATAACCAGAGAATAAACACGCCTTACAGTGCACGGCCACTATGACCAGCAGATGAAATGTATATGTAACAATAATGGCATCTCATGAAAAACACGAGATTTCAATGAACATAATATTTTATGCTTTTACCTTTACATATCTCCAACAGTTTCCTGAAAGCCACATGTGCTTTTGCTGTGTAGTCATCATCAGATGTGGAAGAAATTCCTGTACTTGATGAGGAAGATTTAATAGAAGCACTTTGTATTTTATCATCTGCACCATCCAAAGCTGTTTGAAATTCAACTGTTGCAACATGTAGACTGCTCCAAAAAGCTATATGATCCTTCATACTCCTCAGTGACAAAGGAAGATACTCTGAGCTGATAAGATCACAAAGGGAAATATTGGCTGGAAAAATGTTGCTGGAAGACTGAGATTTGTTTGCTTCTTTCAGAAGTCTGATTATATTATTTGTAAACAGGATATAACCTGGAACTACATTTCTACTTCGACACTTTGAGCCACTTGTATCTGAAGAGTTCAGACCTTTCTGTAGACTATCACAGTGTTTATATGCCACATCTAAAAGACTTGCAGAATGCTCATATGTTGCACCAAAAGTTAAGGCTAAGTCTACTGCTGCCATTGCAACATTATTTTCCACACCTTGCAGCATGGTGGCCTCATGAGGAAATTCTAAAAAGAAAATAATATCGCATTTTGTCATGTGCTTGTCTACTTAATGATAATATTAGTAAAATTTCTCTCATGTTTGATTAAATAACTGTTCATTAAATAAACAGTCCCTGATTAAATGCATGTACCATGTTTATTAAGTTTCTCTCATCATTATCACTATTCTTAATTTTTAATCTTGGAAGTCATTTCGGCACCAACAATTCTGTCCTTTAGTGTTCATGTTGTTGTCTAATCAGAAAATGCCCTAAACAACCTGTATCTGATTGCCGGTCTCAAATTTTGTTTGTTGACAAGCATAAAAGAAAAAGATGGTGTTTCTATTGGCAAGGTATGTTCTTACTACTTACTTATTCTACTGAAGGTATATTTATTACCAGTTCACACATACTTCTTATCATGTATATAATATTATGAAATAATGATGGCTAAGAGACGTTATAATTCTTGATCATTCACATTCATATAATGGGTCCTTGAAATGAACCAGCCTATGTTTCTTTTCTTTTGTGGGGTATTTTACAATGGTGTCAGTAGCCAGAAAATATAGTCTTCAATGGTAGAGTGATAGATAAATGATGAATTAGAAGGGGTCTGGAAGGAAGCGGTATTGCCATATTGAAGGTACAATTCTGACATTTTCGAGAAGGAACCAAGGAAAGCCACAGAAAAGCTCAGATGGACAGCTTATGTCTCAGCAGACGTTCAATGTGAGCAGCGTCCGAATACGAGTCAACACCATTACTGCTGTGTTGACCCATTTGATGCCAACCACATTAATGAAACAAAACTGATACTAATTTTCATTACTGAAACACAGTCGATTTTTACTCACTTGACAAGTTCACAACTCTGCACTTCAAGTGGCTGTTGCACTGCTGGCTGCAAGGAACATGCAAATTTTGCTGATGAATCAGGATGCCTCATGATCAATAACATTCAGAACAAAGTACTTACAATTAACAGGTCACAGGAGGTACTGAAAATGCCATCCTCTCCTTAACAGTTCTTGACACTGACCCATGTGGAGGATGGTACTTTTAACAGTTCTACTCTTTACGTAGTAGCCACAGTTGATGGATGACCACTTTTGGCAGTTCTGTGTAGTAGTCACATGTTGGACGACCACTTTTCACAATCCTTCCCTTCATGCCCTAGATGATGAAGCTCCAGTTGTACTTGTGAATGCCACATGGTCTAAGAGCCATAATGAAGTGCTGAGAATGGCTTGAGGGCAGGAAAAGGAAATGATGTTCAGGGTGCAAGCATGAAATTCTCTTCAGAGCTTAACGGGCCTTGCTCCGATGAGAGAGGGTTTATTGAAGAAGTCCCTGGACCACACTTCACCAATGAAATTATGTCCTTGATTTATTGTCCACCACACTACACGAACTTATGGATTAGTCTTTTTAGGTTGCAGATACAACTGTTCTGGCACACAACTGTACACAACACCCAAAGGTTACAATGAATACATTGAATGTTACAAACACATTTGAATACTATTACACTGCTGATGCTATCGTATTACTACTATATCAGCGCCACCTGAAATCAGTCCTTTAAATACTTTTGGATGACATAATATTCCAGAACTTTCCACATTGGAATTTCTCTTAAAGCTTCCACACTATTCTACAGATTGAGGATGTCCTGGAAGTTTCTTTAATTGGGTTGGTACGAGGAGTAAGCAATTCACATGCTGCACTGGCTGTCAAAGATCCTTCTAGCAGTCTTATCTAAACATTCCTCACCACAAATTCTCAGAAGTTCATGCAAAACTGAGAATAAGTTACATTTATTACAAGACGGGTATTAAGTTAGGAGTATTAATATTTAAGAATTAGGCCGGTAGATAATGATCAGTTACGTCGCTATACATAGATATTTTTTGCAATTAACTGTTTCATTAAAAACACAGGTACAGCAATCCTTCTTTCACTTACAGCACACCAGACACTAGCTTTCACTCGATGGCTTCAGCAATGTGTTGCCATTTTTGCACTAGACTTTGACACTCCAGTCTCTTGACATAGATGTTTCAGTGCTTTTCTAGGTGTATGTTCAAATCTGGGTGCTATGTGATCTAACTTCCAGTAAGCACTTGTTACTTGTTTTTGGTCTATTAAGAGTCCAATTGTTATAAGTTTATTCACCAAACTTTGAATTGTTTGTCTGCTGGGAATTATTTCATAATGAAATATGCATCAAAATTTTCACCCACTTTCTAGCAGATCCATACTTCACATAGCTGTCATACAGACAAAAAGTTGCTCTAAATTATACCACAGCAAGACATACCAAAGTGTTCACTAGTGTAACTGAGAACAAATGGCTAATGGAGCTGATAACTGCTGCCTACTGCTGACAAATCATAAGCAAATTCCCATGCATGAACCACACGGTTTGCTGTGAAGTGGTCTACATGTTAATTACTTCCCTTCATTCCAAATGTTATCTGCTGATTCACCGACAAAATCTGTATGCACCTTGTGGGAGGTGGCACACTGGCCACTGTGAAGCACGGACCCATAAACTCATCAAGCAAGTAAAAATCTTACCTGTATGAGTTAACACTCTATGCAAAATTGTACCCTTAGAGAAATAATTAATTTGTTGATAAACTGATATACTGCAGGTGGATTAATGACAATTTATGGACATAACTGTGAAGATTAACCATCACATTAATACCAAGAAAAAATTTTACAGTTCTTCCAGCTAACAGAATTACTTTGTAATAGATGACATAATAAATTTTCAAGCTGAGAAGACCCGGTAAAAATATTGATGTAGGCTGATCAGAGAAAAAGATAAATGTCATGAAAAAATATTATAAGACATTAGTCTATGAACATTAATCCTGTGTCTTCCTCTAGCAGGGAACAGCTCTTTTGCATCTCATCCAATTTACACATAATAAGCTTACATGAAAATATGGTAGGATTATATTTTGATCATCACTGCATTTGACTCAGGATTGTAATAAAAATGCACGTACCTGTATGATAACTGAACTGGAGCTTCTGTGTACAACCATGAAGAAAAGAGTAGAACATACCTGTTATAATTTGACCAGCTCCCTGAATACCAGGAATGGGTGTGACGGATAAAAATGTCTCCATTTGGTTCATCAGGAAAGTCGACTGCATTCCAGCACTTGCTGCACTCTTTATACTCTGGGGGTAACAAAAACAGTAATTTGAAATGAAAGTAATGGTTATGCGATTCTATTCCTAGGTAGTACCATATGTGAAACATGTTCTAACAGTAGTTAAACAGCCCTCATGTCCTATGTAACTGTGAGGTTCTAGCTGATTTCAGAATTTGTCACCTAGCTCATTTTATGAAGCCTAGTGACTATCAAAAGACCCTACTAGGAAAAATTCATTTGAAGTCTGAGACTGCTAGATGCCAATTTTTGAAAGGAAATGCACAACATACTGCAGATGGTAAAGGCCACAAGGTCATTTGACACCAACCCCTTTAATCTAATCTGGTTATGTGAGATTAGATAGATGATAGAGAAATGTACTTTCTCTCAAATTATTAGAGTCATTCAAAAATCTCTTTTGTTGTTGTTTAGGGCTGGCCAAGATAATACTGGTATACAGTTTCCATCACACAACTGTCAACATGGAGAACTTCAAGGACACTTGAAGTAGAAGACAGCTACACTCATAATCAGTTGATTCTGAAACAGCTGTTGGGCTCTACAAACCAAACACAGTGTATCTGAATTGCTATAAAACATTCTAATTACAGGTGAAAAAACTCAAATATTCATTTTGAGAAACATTAAATGCTGAAACGTGAAATGAGTTCAAACTGATGAACCATAACAAGGGCAGCACTTGCACTAACATATGTTTTTGGCAGTGCCATAGCTCAGTCAGTAAGACACTGGTTTCCCACCCAGGTCCAAGAACAGGTAAAGTCATGTGGGATTTGTGGTAGACAAGGTGGCACTGGGAGAGGTTTTCTCTGAGCACTTTGGTTTCCCCTGCGAATTCTCGTTCCACCAACTGCTCCACACTCATTATCATCTATCATTCAGGGTGGTACAGTGAACCAAATAGTGGCCAATGTACCAAGTGGACTTAGTCTCACCCCAACCCAAGAAAAAAGCAACATATGTCTTTCCTCCAGTCTGTATCTAGTTGTGAAAGATATTAAAAATTTACCAACACAATGCCTCTATTCTGCATATTTGATATATTTTTCTATACATATAAGAAGTAGTATAGTAGTGAGATGAAAGCTCTGAAATTATGAAATTCTGGGCTATCTTAGCAACAACCTGTAGTGTATTGACATACAGAAATGGAAATCATGGAGAGATCACTAAGAAGAGAGGAGACTTTTGTTTCAGTGTATGTCTCTTCTGTGAGTATTCGTAATATTTTAATGTGGATATGTGAAGTGTAGTATACAGTGGAACCTCGCTTAACGAGCATAATTTGTTCCAGAATCTTACTTGTAATGCGAAACACTCTTTAAGCAAAACAATTTTTCCCATATAAATTAATGTAAAATACAATAATGCATTCCATGCCGAAAAAAATACTGAAAAAATTTTATGGATAACGTTTATTCAAAGAAAATTATACGAAGGGGGACCCAAAAATAACCGGAAACGACTTGTTGCGCGCGCATGCTTTGTAGTTACGAGTTGTGCTGCTAGGTGGTGTTAGCTGGGTGTCTCCCGCGACTGTTAGTGAGCTGGCGTCAGTCTGAGTTAAGGGGTTTGTCTGTGGTGCTCTGTTGTGTGCGTTCCTGTTTCAACCCTTTGGCGATTAGTGAGATGGCCGACCAGAAGGAACAAAGAGTGTGCGTGAAATTTTGCTGTTAGGGAAAACTGCACTTCACTCTTCAAGTTGCGGCAAATATTCACGCGGTTTTCTCTTTGGTCATCTCCGAGCAAGCGAGGAACAAATTTTGCAGACACCCATCTCATGTGCAAACCTTCGGTTAAAATTCGCTGGACCGTGCTCCACGAGATGTTCATTTCCTCAGAAAGTTGGTCAATGGTCTTTTGACGATCTTCATCAATTTCACGCACACTCTTTGTTCCTTCTGGTCGGCCATCTCACTAATCGCCAAAGGGTTGAAACAGGAACGCACACAACAGAGCACCACAGACAAACCACTTAACTCAAGACTGACGCCAGCTCACTAACAGTCGCGGGAGACCCCCAGATAACACCACCTAGCAGCACAACTAATAACTACAAAGCATGCGCGCGCAACAGCTCTTTTCCAGTTATTTTTGGGTCCCCCCTCATATATACATTGTTAAGGAGCGTGAATCATCTTCATCTTTTCTTCTATGCGGAATGAACCAACCTGGAATGCAAATTTGATTTGCAGGGGGGAGGAATTGAAATACATAGTTTATTATTTATGATACATATTTAATTCTTTTTTACTAGAAAGCTGTCTAGAGACATTTGTTTTTGCTGACGCTTCAAACTTTGGTGAAAATGTGACATAGCATTATCATTAAATAAATTTGTAGCGCACATAGCCACTGCCTTATTAGGGTGATGCTTCTCAGTGTATGATGCAACAGTCTCCCATGCTTTCAGCATTTCTCTTATTGCACCAGAAGATTGGTGCTTTGCTGTTACCTCCTCCTCCTCCTCCTCTGACAAACTCTCCTCCACGACTTCTTGCTGTGAAACACAATGCAACTTCAAATCGTGCAAATCGTTGTTGTAGACCAATTGCATGTGCGTGCTAGATCAGCCATGCTCACACCTTGTTCTCGCTTTTCAATGATTTTACGTTTCATCTCTACGGTTATTTTTATTCTCTTATGGCTGTCTTTCTGCGCCTTTTTCTTCAGGGACATTTTTGCAACTTTGCACAAAAGAATCACAAGTAATATGTCTGAACACAAGTTTGGAAAAATGTGTGATCACAAGCGACACTAAGATGCTAGCGGAACGAGTGCTAAACACAGAGTGATGTAGCAAGCGCACAATCCGGGACTTCCCCTCTCGTCACTCGTTATGCGAAACTTCGCTCGTTAAGCGAGTCATTTTTTTTATAATTTGTTTTGCTCATTATGTGAATTACTCATTATGAGAGGTGCTTGTTAAGCGAGGTCCCACTGTATTATACAAAGGAGATGGTTTACAGTTAATAGTATGATAGATTATACTGTGAGAACCTCAAATCCTACATACATGTTCATACTTTCATTATTTTATTCCATTATTGTTAAATATACTGAATCATGCAAGTTCTGAACCCAAGTGATTCAGATATTTAATCCCATAGCTAAATGAGATGGTTTTATGTATTAATATTAACCTCCAAAGTAGACATCCTCTTTCCTGGTAGTGCTGACACCTTTGTTTGTTCCGAATCTCTCTGCTTGCTTTCCACACAACATCTTAACTTCTTAAGCAGACTCTGGTAAGCTTCTATAAACTTTACTTCCAGTGCAAGTGGGTTATCTTCCTCTTCAAACATCTAAATTATAAATCATTATTAGCGAAACTGAAATTAGTGCACTGAAACCCAGCTGTACTTTAACCAACACTGAAATTTTTACCTACTTCTAGTCTTAAATATCCTAACTGTAGGCATATGAAAATTAAAGAGTTAAGGTAAATATGTGTGTCCAGAGAGATGAAGTGCGAAATTGAAGACAGTCCATATAAAAGTTCTCGGTACTGACTTTGCTCAATGGTAAAACTTTACAGGACAGATTTTTTGAAGTACTGAACTCTGTATATAGATGCATGCACTTTAGCTAAGAATATAATGTAACAGATTTGGTCAACATGTTGCCAGGCAACAGCTTGTAAACATGATCCAACACACAACAGTAGGCAGCCATCACGTGACATGTATTTCCTGTGATGCATGTCCCTTTCTCAGCTACATAAGTAAGACTCCAAAGCGGCCTCCGTAGTCTAGAGGTAACGTTCCCACCTCATGACTCGTAGTATGTGGGTTCAAATACCCGGCGGAGGTGGTCGAATTTTTAAGGGAGGAAAAATTCAGGGAACAAGTCCTCTGGGAGGGACTTCAAACCGTGGGTAGCTTTACGGCATGTAAAAGAACCTCAAATCTCCAAAGGAGGTCACTGAGCCAAATTAACGGATGTTTCCCGCCCAACAGCAGTCACTAATACCTTTGGTAGATGGGGGAAGCATTATAGATACCTCTCAGCTAGTAGAGCCGGTCTCGCTGGCTGGGCGGGACTGATGGTAAGCACCAGTACGGTAGGATATAGAGATTGGTAGAAATCATAGAGGGAAGCACAATGGACCAATACAGGTCTCAGTGCATGGAGAAACCCACCCTCTCCAATAACTAACTAACTAAGTAAGACTCCAGGAGGGTTCATAAGAGTAATGAGCGATAGTAGCGGCAGAAGCACGCGAAGAAGCAAGCAAGCATATCTTCAAGGAGTATAGAAGAGTATGAGAAGTCAGCCTGTGAAGATTTAACGTGTGATTTGAAGACTTTATGTGTGCTATAGTGCAGTGGTATTGGGAGTGCGTGATTTAGTGAGACTTCTACAGTTCCTGTGTTATAAATCTGTGAAGAATAGTGCAGACTGAAGAAATTAGGGCGGAGTGCTCTGTAGTGTGGAAATCAGTAATAGTGTAATAATTAATTGTAGTTACAGCCTGTACGTGGCTAATAAATCTGATTAACAATCTGAACCCTGTCTTTAGTCACTGTGACACATGACAATAATTTATATCTAGCAGAAGGAGAGCAATTACAAGCAAGGTCTTACTACACTCTGTTATAAGCAACTTCAGCTTCCACACAGTGCAATAAGTATTTAATGTTTGAGCTGTGGCCCAGTTATTCTTGATGTGCTGTATATCCTACCTGATATTTCTTTAAGAAAGTAGACACTTGGAAGGCCAAGGAAGACATGGAGTATAGCAGACTTTGGGGAAATAGGTTTTGAGATATGAATTGCACTCAGCTGGTTCTGGATTATGCTTAAAATTTAATGAAGGTATTAGTAAAATTTAAACTTTGGGTTTTAGCACAGAATTTTTTAATTTTATGAATTGTATATTTTAGACTGCTATCAAATTGTATACATTATGATTTAGTTTTTACAACATGATCGTGACAATGATAACCATTTACCTGCATTAATTATTGCAGTACATATAGTAATCTGACATGTTCTACATCCTAGCCACATTGTGACCAGAGAAGATTCATGGAATTTTAAAATAAATGAATGAATGAATGAATGAATTAGGCAGAGTACAAATAAATATCTAACATTATCTGTCTCTGGTCAGAGATGTTTCCTTCCTTGCCTATCCCAAGTAAATACTATGCCCCTATTTTGGAAATATGTAACAATTCCAGTTTATATTTATATGCACTTATTACCACATATGTTGAATTAAAAAGGAAATTCATTTTTAAAATACCTGGAAAAAGAGAGGTTAATAACAAAAAACAGACTTCCAAGCAGAGTACCCAAAGACAGATAGGAAGGCCAAAATACATACGAAAGATAGATCTGAGACAAAGGGAACCAGAAGATCTTCTGGCAGTTCAGAGAGAAATCAAATGGGCAACACAGTTTCAGCGAGGCCTATGTTCAACTAAGTAAGTAAAAAGGACAAGAGCAGATGATCACGATCACAACCAATCGATTGCAATGACAATGGCATAACAGCGGCAGTAGTGGTGTTTGTGATGTTAATGCTGATGCTGGTAGTAGCAGTATTAAACATGATGAGTCACCATTCTAATGTTATACTAACTTTTCTATTTTTTTCCTTTTGTTATACAAAAGACAGATGAGTAGAATTCTGTCACTGAAAGTGTTCCTTTTCTTAATTTGTTAATATCCTGAACGTCCTAAAATAACTGTCACATGAACAATATTATGGAAGTTTTCATATCAGCTCTAGGAGAGTACAGATAAGTGACTGTAGATGACTGAAAGTTACTACATGGTGAAAGGACAAGGCAATCAGCTCCCTTTCATGTCAGCATGTGATGGCACAAGTAAACAAATGCAATTAAGGTCAGAAACATTGTGTAAAACCTTTAAAAACTGCCTTCAATCACTCTTAAAATAGTTCATTTCTTTTATTTATTCCATTAGCTTTAACATCAATAGATGTCAGAAGTTATAAACAAATTAAAACCAAGGTGAAACACAATTAGCAGTTATATGGCATATTCCAATTCTACATACAAATATACTGTCACGTGTTTGTGACTAGACGCATTCTGGATTCGTAATTCAATTTAATGAATGCTTATACTGCATCTACAAGTAATTATAACACTACCACTAATTCATGCATTCTGCTTCTCACTTCTATGACTTCACTAGTTACTGACTGGTAACAGATCCCAACAGTGTCTTCTTCTGATCATATCATTGCTGGCCTTCTGCCTTCTCACAGTTAACTCATGGTCACAACTGCTCATGATGGCAACTGACCCTCAATTGCCTCTCATGCTCAGTCAGTCAGTTAAATTACTGTCAGCCTTTGACAGCAGTCATTCCTGGCTTCAGTCTCCTCAAGATCCATGACCCAGGTTTTTATTCTCTCCTAGACATGTACATGTTTCAAAATGGGGCCTCCTCCTCGATGGAGGGGTGAGGCTTTCTACGTAGGCACCTCTTATGGCCTTTGCCGATACTCTTTATATACACAGCCATGGCCATTACCACGCAACAGACTATTTTTTCTGTCTCCATTACTCTGGCTTTCAGGTGTCATGTCACAATATTAAGCAGTGAGAAGGCAGGAGTTGTATGCAATCTAGAAGCAATTGTCAGTAGAACTGCCATGAGGCATCAGCACTGAGTCCAACAAAAAAGGCTTCCCCTACTATCTTGCAAATTGAGCTCCCTAATATTACTTACAACATCCAGAAAATCTGTTATAAAAAGCATAAATACTAATGCCAATAGTCTTACTTCAGTTTTCATAGCCTTCTTTTGTGTACCGTACAAAATCCTCCACATTTTATGTCTTTTTTTTTTGCATTTTCAGTCTTAAGTTTTGGCTCAGGTCCAAACAATCCCATGGATATAAACATAATAAACACTGATTTTGACTGTTAACAAATATCAGAAACATACTACATACTTACTGCATTCACTTACCTCTATGACTTGTTTTGCTTTGGTAAGTTCACCATGAGTGAGACACCTAACAGCTAAACTACTCTGTGATGATAACATCAAGTTGATGATTCTGGTTGGAAAGGAAAGAAATGAACCACGCCTCAGCTGACACTTATTCCAGCGCGCTTTGTGATAATTTGAGGCTGATGTTACAGCACCACCTAAAAGTGTAACATAAAAAAATTGATTTAAATGAACTGAAGTACTCTATGAGTATAGAATTTACTAAACCTTGAAGCAGCAACACTTAGCATGCATGCATACAGCTGTTCTATTACATGCTAGAGAAACATCTGCTACCTCTCAGCTCCATTTATAGTCATTGTATTGTGCTGCCTCATTTTCCATGTATTTTTACAAAAACTGTTGAGAGCAGCAGCTCTAACAAAATTGCTTCTGAAATAAGCCAAGTAAGTCACAGCGAAGCAAAATGAATTATTCATAATGTAGTAGCCTCTAGTGACAAAGAAGCACAATTTATGGGGAATTACCAGTATCAATTCAGAAGGCAACAGAATGTAGTATGCTCTAGAGTGTTGTTTCCTGACTTATTATATGCGTCATAAGGAACTCAAGAACAGACAAAACTTGGTAGTCAGCCAGGTGGGATGTGAGGTCTCAAAAATAATAATTCAGTCATACAAATTCTTTCATGTATTGTAAGGGCATGCTTCTCGCTCATGCTGTGCTATAATTGTATTTCTGCTAATACTGCTTTTATACAATAAAATAAATCGTTACAGTTGTGGGAACCTCCCATAGTGAAAGGAGCACTACCAAATCAGTGCTCACCCTGGCATTGCCAACATCCATTTGTTAGCATGCTGCCTAGTGACAAAAGTATAAAGATGCAGGTGTCCCACATACACTAGCATCAGTCACAAGAATGCTTGCATCAAGACAACAGGAAGTCTAGTAGCAGCCAAATCTGTCAGTGATCACCAGCACTCATCAGGCCAGCCAGCCAGCTCACAATGAACGGGCTGCTGCAAAGAAGAATGAGTGACCCACCTCCAGAACTGCCACCCTACCCTACCCTCCCAAGACTGTCAGTCAGCTCCGTCGACTTCTATAGGCGATTTCTGTCCCATGTGGCAGCCACTCGAGGCCCACTTCATGAAGTTCTTTCCAACACCAGAGTCAAAGGCTCCCACACCATCACCTAAATGCCAGAACTCCTCAAGGCCTTCAAAGAGTGCAAGGCAAGTTTGTCAAGTGCCACTCTACTGGCATACCTCGATCTATTCATGCCACGATGCCACTAGAAGTCATCACAGATGCCTACATGTCTACCATGGGTGCCATGTTACAGCAACATATCGAGAACGCCTGCCAGCCCCTCAGCTTCTTCTCCAAAAACTCAACCCAGCCCAGCAGCAGTACAGCACCTACGATCACAAGCTACTGGCCATCTATGAGGCCGTAATGCATTCCTGCCACATGCTGGAAGCACGCCACTTCAATCTTCGCCAAACATAAGCCCATCAACTATGTCTAACAATAGAAGTGGGACAAATGTTCACTGTGGTAGTTCAATCATCTAGACTTTGTCGCCCAGTTCATGACAGACATAAGGCACATTTCTGGATGGGACAATATTGTCTCTGACGCCACCCTCTCGTGTTGAATCCATCACTGTGCCACCATCCTACGATGCACTGGCTGCATCGCAGGATGGTGATGATGAGCTCCGAACACTCCTGGGATCAACCACTGCGCTGTGGCTAGAGAAACTGCCAATACCTGGTACCACGATCTCCATCTATCGTGACACGTCTGCTGGGAGTTCTCGACCATATGTTCCAGCTCCCCTACAGCCCCAAGGTTTCAAGTCCATCCATGATCTGTCACACCCGGGCACCAAAGCAACAGTGAAGCTGGTCTCAAGAGTGTTTTGTGTGACCAGGAGTGCAGAAGGATTGCCGCACCTGGGCATATGCCTGTCAGGTCTGCCACCACCGCAAAGTTACCTGCCAGTTTTCTGCACATGCACACAGACCGCATAGGGCCTTTTCCGATGTCAGTGGGTGATACATACTGTCTCACTGCAGTCGACTGTTTCACTGCTGGCCAGAAGTCGTCCCCATCCTTGACATCACAACCAACACTATGGCATGTGCCTTACTGACTGACTGGATATCCGACTTCAGTTGCCCATAGACCATCACCACCAACCATGGATGCCAGTTTGAATCCAAACTCTTGCAATTCCTGGCCAGGCTGTGTGACATTCAGATCTGACGGATGACTGCCCACCACCCCGTGGCTAACAGGCTTGTGCAATTCCTCCACCAGACACTGAAGGCAGCATCACACACACTGTTGGTCACACAGACCAACAGTGAACAGAGGTGCTTCCCCTGGTTCTCCTCAGCATCTGCACAGCATTCAAAGAGGACCAGAGGCATCAGTGGCTGAACTCATGCATGGCGAGCTCCAAAGAAATTCAGGCAAGCTACTGAATCTGTCTGCCAACCCAGTGGATCCAACGCATCTCATCACTGAGCTCTGCCAGCACATGGCCAGCCTGAGACCAGTTCTGGCAGCACACCACGGCTCCCCAGCTAGATTTTTGCATGTGACCTTAAGAAGTGCACCCACAGCATCAAGCCAGCATACATCATCAATGGGATTGACCGTGGGAACAGTACCTTCAACCCGCCGGTCGATGCAACCCTGTTTGCAGTATCACATGCTATTCTGCCACAGCCCTTCACATGAACTACATGCTCCGGTCAACACGTCCATTTCTCCACACACTTCATCTCAGCAACCACCTCCATTTGGGGGGGGGGTGATGTGGAAACCTCCCACAGTGAAACAAGTGCTACCAAATCAGCGCTCACCAATGCATCTCTAATGCCCATTGGTGAGCGAGCCGCCTAGCGGCAGATGTATAAAGATGTCTGACATGCCAGCATCAGTCATAACTACACTTGCAGCATGACAACAGCACAACCGCGGGTCTAGTAGCAGCTGACTCTGTCAGCGATTGCCAGTGCCCATCAGGCCAGCCAGCCAGCTTTCAATCACCGGGCCACTGCTAGGAAGAACACAGGGCTGCTGCAAAGAACGTCATCACAAGCTCAGGCTAGCCTGCTACTGCAAGCGTTTTGCCCAGCATCCTGCCAGCTTACAATCACCGGGCTGCTGCTAGGAAGAACACAGGGCTGCTGCAAATAAGAATATAATCACTAGCCCAGGCTAACCACTATGAAGGGAGTTTCTGCTGGCATTCATCAGGCACATTCTGCTTTCCTGATTGTATGTAATATTCTCACTAACATCCAAAAAACATTTGTCATAGTTCTACGTGGTTGTCTCTCCATACCACCAGATTCGACATCCCAAACAATCTTTTAGGTTGTAGTATTCCATTGCAGTGTCATATTGTATTAAATATAGAGTTATGGAAGTTCAGTCTATACAACTACAATATATAATGGTTTATTACATATTATTTACGTGGGGCAAACCAAAAGTTACCGATATTTGAATTTTGCACGTGAATGGTTATGAGTACATCGAAATACCACTAGGTGTCTCCTCACACATCCTTCTTGAATCAGTGTGGCAAGCAGCATCGAGTTGAGTGGTTAGGTTTATTGTTGGTGAACGTATTTCCATTGTTGCGTTTCCGTGAGTTTGCGGTTTTGTGATGGCTGACCTGAGAGAGCAGCGTGTCTATAAAGTTTTGTTTCAAACTTGGGAAAACCGTTGCAGAAACGCAACAAATGTTGAAGCAAGCTTTTGGTGAAAACAGTTTAGGCCAGACACAAACTTACAACTGGTATAAGCGTTTAAAAAGGGCCGAACATTGACTGATGATGACGATCGTTTTGGATAGCCATCAACGGGCAAAACACCAGAAAATGTCGCGAAAGTTAGGGATCTGATTCTGCAAGATCGTAGACTGACCATCCAACAACTCTGTAACACCTTGGGACTAAGTTATGGTACATGTCAATGAATTTTATCAGAGGAACTGAACATGAGGAGGATTGCGGCGAAGTTTGTGCCATGACTGCTGCAAAATAAACAGAAACAGCATCGCTTGGAAGTCTGCAGGGAACTTCAGCAACAGCTTCAAGAGGATCCAAACTTTCTTTCGAAAGTTGTCACTGGTGACAAAAGTTGGGTTTATGGCTATGACCCTGAAAGCAAGCAGCAATCATCGCAATGGAAGAGCCCTTCTTCACCTCGGCCAAAAAAAGCTCGACAAGTCAAGAGCAACATTAAGTCCATATTGATCTGTTTTTTTGATATTGACGGGATTGTTCATAAGGAGTTTGTCCCTCCTGGTCAGACAGTCAATAAAGAGTTCTATCGTGATGTTCTAAGGCATTTGAGAGAGGACATGAGGAGAAAACGTCCAGAGAAATGGTGCACGAATGACTGGGTACTCCACCATGACAACGCATGACCGCATACGGCTTACACTGTGCAGGAATTTTTGGCTAAAAACAAGATGGCAGTTGTTCCCTCCCACCATACTCGCCAGACTTAGCTCCATGTGACTTCTTTCTCTTCCCCAAGATGAAAATCAAGTTGAAGGGGTGAAGATTTGATACAGTTGAGGAAATTCAAGTGGAAATGCAGACGGTACTAAACACCCTAACAAAGAATGACTTCCAGACTTCCAGTATGCATTTGAAAAGTGGCAGAAACGCTGGGATCGGTGTATGCGCTCCCAAGGGAACTACTTTGAAGGTGATGGTGCAGAATAAGATCTAGGTAAGATGTAATAGATTTTATTAATATATTTCGGGAACTTTTGGATTGCACCACGTATTGACTGCTATGTGTTTCAGCCATAGAGGTCATTTTCACACAATTGGTACATTTGTTATTATTTGCTGCAAATCTGTATGTTGAACAACGTTTGTATGTTGATTCAAGTTAAAATGTATTGACTGGATTAGTTAAAACACAAGAGATATAGCTAATAGATAGCATTTGGATTCATTAACTCATACAGGAGAGGTATCAGTAAAGGATGCAAATTATATGGACTATAGTAGTTAAAATTCTTGGCACCGAAGTTGCTGAAAGTTCAAATGGTGAGTGTTGCGCCTGACATGAACTACTCGTCACAGATGTGCATACTGCTGCTAATTTGCATGTGGATGTGATTGTTCCACATGGTATTATAACAAATTATTCATCTTGTATTAAATCCTACGACTTTTTCAGTCATGGTAGTATTGGTGTATACCCTATGTACCAACTGTCTCATGAGGTTCCAGTTCATGGAGATGTGACAGTGTTTTAATCTCTGGTGCTATATGTATATTGTAACGTGCTGCCAGGAAGGCTGGATGATAAGACGTCCATCACTGGTTAACAGCTACCAATTCCTAGGCAGCAATGCCTAGGAAATCGTTGCCCCTAAGATGAAAGTCTAACAGTGGGGTTTCCACTGATATTTGTAATGAATTGTCTGAGACAGTAAACATGTATTCCCATGACCACTGGTGTCAGAACTGGGATCTACAGGACCAGATTCTGGAACAAATTATCGGACAACACCACACTACAAAAAATATGGAGTCACAGCAGATGATGGAATTCCTGTTGGCCATGCGAGAAGACATGAAATCCTACCATGCAAAGGCAGACGTTGATGAGGGCCTGGTGAGAGCAAATGAGAGTGGGCCGAGAACACATGCTGCAACAGCTTCTGGCCAACCAGGCAAAGGCAGATGACAATATAAAAGATTTTCTGGCCAAAATGGAGGCAGATAGGAAGACCGACCAAGATGAAAGGAAAGCCTGGTGAGAAGAGATGGCCACAACAATGAAAGCCATGGGAGATAACAGAATGGAAGCAGACAGAAAAACCACGCGGGCAGATGTAAAGCAAGTACGAGTTACTGTAGCTCCACCTGCAGCCAGCTGGGACCTGGATGCTCTAACAATGGAACAGCTAAACGACCCAGACATCAGGCCTGTTCTACAGGAAGTAGAAACTGGAAAACAACCAGAGTCGAAAGATATCGCCAACCACAGTCCCACGTACAAAGCTACTGGGCTCAGCGGGAACTGTTCGCTGTGAGAAATGGCATAGTAGAGCACAACTGGGAATCCACCAATGGACAATCTCAAGTACCCCAAATAGTTATTGTTAGGAGCAGAGTGAAGGATGTGCCGACCAAACTACACAGTGGACCATCAGGAGGTCACTTGGACGTCAATAAAACCCTAAATAAGTTTCGGTAGCAGTACTACTGGCTCCATTCAAGGAGTGACATTAAAAAATTCTGCCGACAGTGCGACACCTGTGCAGCCTGTCATGGTCCACGGACCAGGATAGGGACAAAATGCAACAGTACAATGTCAGGGCACTGTTCGAAAGGATAGCAATTGATGTAGTTGGACCCCTCCAGCTGAACCAATATGTAACGTGATAACTCCTGATAGCAACAGACAATTTCACAGAATGGACGGAAGTCTATGCCATTTCCAATCAGGAGGCATCGGCAATAGTGGAAGTTGTGGTCACAAACTTCTTTTGCTGCTTTGGCATACCTCGGGAGTTATATAGTGACGAAGGCCATAATTTTGAGTCTCACCTACTGTAAGAAGTTGTGCAATGCCTGGGAGTGAGCAAAGCACACACCACACACCTGCACCAGCAGTCAAACAGCACAGTAAAGTGTTACATTAAGACCATCAAGAAGCACCTGTGGAAGGTAGTTGCATCCCACCAGAGGGACTGGGATGAGAGATTACACCTCTTTCTCCTAGCTTACAAGTCATTCACTCATGACACTACGGGACTGACCCCAGCTAGCCTAGTGTTCAGACAAGAACTCCAACTGCCCTGCGACCCGCTGTTTGGGGTACCCCCAGACAAGGAACTACCCAGAACCGATTATTTGATAGACTTAGTGGACCACCTACATGACATCCACAATTATGCTCGGCAACACCTGAAGCTTGCTGGTGGCTGGATGAAAACTCAGTATAATAAACTGGCCAACTCCCGGGTTACAACAAGGGCGACAGACTGTGGCTCTATCGCCCATCCCAAACAGCAGTGGGCAAAACGAAACCCTTCAAAAAGGTGTTCCATATTCAACCCAAATGCAGGAGATAACAGTCCAACTTCGGCAGGAGAGCAGAACAGTTCATATCCGACAAGAGACCAGGAGAGTTTGCATTCGACGAGAGCTAAGGACAGTTGAGCTCTGAGCAGAAGATACTTCACCAACACTAGCGGTGCAAGACTGTATAACATTGAAGAGGAAACATCCGAAAACGTTATAATTGTATTTGTGAGTGTAAAGAGTGATTATCCAATAAATGTTTGTAAAAATCCGAGACCCACACAATTTCTTGTCATGTTGCCTAGGAAACACGCGTCAACATTTTCATGGTAGGTCGTCTGGATCTGGAACTGGTATTATTTACCTTCTATGTTGTGAGTGTTCACTATGGAGGTTTGTCAGGAGTTCCATTCAAGTCTTCTCAGTCTTCAAGTTCTTAAGATTTTCCATTAATGATTAATAAAATGATAAAAGGTATATAACTGTAGAAACAGACTTGTTGGAGAAAGAGAAGCCTTGTTTTTGCTATAGTTGAAGTGGATTTTCTTTATGAAACAACTGGTGAGACACGAGATGCAGAAGATTTGGAATCACTGCGCTAGACCACTGAAGTAACTACAGCCACTGCCACAAGTGGCAAAGTAAAAATAAGTGTGCCAACAAGGAAATTCAACTTTCAGAATGTAATGTATATCAAATACACCACATGCAAGGGGCAATACCCAAACAAGACATTCATAATAATTCAGCCACTATTAAAAATGTTAGAAAATTACAACTCTGTACTGCTAAATTACTTCATTTATGACATCCCTCTACAGCTATCTATACCAACCTTCTGACCTGTTGGAATGTGAACCAGATTCACTTGACTTCTCAGGCTCAGATTTTGATCTCTTGCTTGCTGGTTTCTGCACACTACAGAGGGATGGACTTCCAGCTTCCTTTTCATCTTCACTATCACTCTCCTCACTCAGGTACAGCCAGTCATCCTGTGTGTCACTGACAGCTGAAATGTGCTCGGTAACACAGATGCAGCCAATTTGCCGTGCAAAATTAGCATCTGTGAACAGCTGCAATCGCCATGCTGCTTCACTCACACACACAGAGAGTCTACACAAGATAAAAGGAACCTTATGTAAACCAAATATTTATACTTCCTTTGCATGAAGTATGCAAATGCCCATCTGTACACCTTTCATCACCAAAACCATTCAACAAATATTGATTAAAGTTGGTTTACATTAAAAATTGTCAGGAAATTTTTATTTTCATTGGTACTGACCCAGTGTAATGTCTATTTTACACAATACTCAAACTGAACTTTATAGTTTTCCCAAAAATTAATTTTCATGGAAAAGAATAGGTTGCGACAGTAATATCTAAAAATTGATGTGAAATATTTTTATATACAAGTCGGACGTTAGCGGGTTCAAGTCCCGATGAGGTCATTGGATTTTTTCAGTTGACCTAATCCTTCCAGCCGCATTATGGCCCTGGGGAGTAAAGCGTGGCCGGCGCATAAGGCTGACAACCTTACCGCCATCTTTGAGTCAACTGTCTAGATAATGTGGGACCCTCAACGTCTCACAACCCTATGGGCCTTCACGGCCTGGTACAGGGATAGCTTTACGTTTTTTTTTACTTTTAATATTTAACATAAAAAAGCAAAAATAACTGAAGACTCTGTGAAGAGTATAAAACTTGTACCATTTGTCAGCTTTATGACCAAGATAATTTACGACTCTATATGGTGCTGCACCTGCTCCGTAGACCTGTTCTACAACAGTAAACATGGGTCTGAAATAAATAAGTTTCAAATCAAGCCTTTTTACATATGAAAAGTGCAAAGGATGACTCATGATTGTATTACCTTTCTACCCTTCCTATTATCAACTCTGTTCATAATACCTAACTGCATTTTCATACACAGATATGAAGATCTGTAGAGTGTGATACTATTATGAAGGTAAAATATTTTTGGCTGTGAAAGATGATTACGTGTGTGTGTGTGTGTGTGTATATATATATATATATATATATATCACAAATTCAGAAAAATATTTTGCAGACAGATAAATTTACACAATAATATGTGTATGGTTACTTAGTGACAACATGATTAAAACTGTTATTCATCAGCAACTACCAAGATATTGCATGTGTGTCTGGTATGCTCCAGAAAGATGAAAATATTAACGTTTTATTAAATTTTTACAATTTTATATTTGGAATGAAAAGTTATGTATCCTACCCTTTCTTTTAGAGGCAAAGTTTCCTATCATGTCACCAAGTGTTATGATACACAAATTAATAATACTGTATTCTACAGGCTTTTGCACCTCAATGGAACAAATATAATATGTGGATGATGCATACAAATTAGATAAGGAATTTTGTAAATTTATTTATGCCAAGAAATGTTCTGTACTATCATCAAGGAAGTATTTATAATTATAATGACTGTCATAGTGTCAGAGGGCAAGTCTGATAATGTTTATTCACTTCAGTAAAGAGCCATATTTCACTGTGTCGAAGATTATGTACTAATTAACACATTACTGTAAGATGGAGTTAGTGACAGAGATTTCAAATGGGAAATTATAAGGGACAAAGAAAAATTGTTATTGCTTGATCCAGAAAAGGACACATATGGCACCATTTGAAAATTTTTGAATAATAACGTTTGGCAGGAAGTACAGCAATCAGGAGTAAGTGCAGAACAATGCATTCAAAGGCAAATCTTGATTACAGCCTAAGACGCCACTGGCATCACATGTATGTTGTAGGCTGCTGTTTATAGGCTAACAGGTATATTCCGAAAATATTAAAATATTCGCCCACAAAATCTCATTAAAATTACAGACGTTACAATCACTTTAATCCAAGAATATATTTTGTGCAAGTTCAAATCACAACCCCTTCTACCTTAAAGTCATTTAAATTTATTTGAAGCTTTTGGCAGTGAAGTCATTACCTGCTCATGCGTTGCTGAAGTAATTCTGGTTCAACAGACGATACAACTTCAACTTTCCTTAAATCCACAGTATCCACAGCAAGAGAACTGTAGAACGCAGCACTTGCTTCCACCAGACATTCCTTCAGACAGTGCAGTAAATCACGTACAAGGTACTGACTGCACATGAATCCTTGTTGAGTTCCTTTTCCCATCATATTGCTTGCTCCACTTATTATACTGGCATTCTCAGAATGATTGTGTCTTGCTGACTTTCTTCGTTCTTGTACCTTTGCATACTGATGTTTGTCTCCACATGTTTCTAATTTTGAAAAATCAGATGTCATATTTGAAGACAATGATGCTGATCGAACAGAGTCTATAGTGGGAACTTCTGCTGTTCTGTATGTGTTTGGAGCTGAATTATGTTTGTCACTGGCAGATGGTGAAGTAGTTACAAACTGTGGCAGTGAATTTGATAATTTATTAAATGCATTAGATACTGGCGATGAATATTTCTGCATATCTGTTTGTTGACTAGAGATGTTCACAGGTGATTCAACAAAGATTTTTGAAAGAGATGATGACATATCCTTGACTTGTGAAGGAGACAAGGATATATCATGTGCTTTCAAAGATAACTGACACACAGCTTCATCAGAAAACGCATTTGAATGTTCTAATGGTGGAGACCCAGTCACATGAGCTTCTATAACAGGCATTGTCCGCAATGATGAGGATACATCACCTATTTGCTGGAAACTGGTCATACTGTGAGTCATGTCAGTTCCTTCCAAATTTTTATAACCTGCATCATCAATGAACTTGGAAATAATTTCTGATTTATGAACTCTTGGATCATGATCCCCATCATCATCATTTGCTCCACTATCTGAGGAAGTCTCTTCTTGGAAATCTTCATATCTCAAAAATAGTAATGAAAATATATTCTCTAGAATTTCAACCCTGAAATCATACATATATTTACTAAAATGATTCAATAATACTTTGTTATTAAGATGATTTACAGATATAAAATCCCTGACTAAGCAGTAGCTATGGTTAATGCACAAGACAGCTGAAACATCTGACATACAATTAATATTCTGTGTGCATAAAAACGGGAAACATTTTATAATTTACTTAATTCCCTGTAGATGAAGTTCACAACAATATTGTCATGCAAAATGATCATATACCAACCAATTCTGTAAACTACAATTTCAATATTATTTCCTCATGTACTGAAATTAAAATTTGAGTTATAATGTTAATTACTAAGGCACATACTTTCTAACCCACCTGAAGTTTAATGGGAACAACTGACACAACATAGTTCTAATTTCCTGCAGTTCTTTTGTTACTCTGTCTTTGTACAGTGCTTCTATTGTAGCTGGACTGAAAACATCACCACCTGTTTCTGTAGATGGATGCCTCGGTATGACTGAAAAAAATTATATACAACAAATATTTCAAAGAGGATACAAATTACTTCTTGGAAATATTACTTTAAATTAATGTATTCAGAGAGCCAATTGGAATTCATTCACTCACTCATGGAACTGAGCCCTTCTTGAGAAGCCACCAATTGTGCAGCTCCTCTGGAACTTCCCAGCATTTTATGGAACCTGAAGGTTCATTACCATGTTCACAAGAGCCGTCCACTGGTACCTATCCTGAGCCAGATCAATCCAATCCATACCACCCCATTCTGCATCTCTAAGATCCATTTCAATATTGTCCACTGAACCATGTCTTGGTCTTCCTAGTGGTCTCTTTTATTCTGGCTTTCCCACATATATTCTATATGCATTTCTCTTCTCCCCCATTCATGCTACATGTCCTTTCCATCTCATCATCCTTGACTTGATCATTCTAATTATACATGGAGAAGAATATAAGTTATGAAGCTCCCCATTATGCAGTTTCCTACAAACCTCCCATAACTTCATTTGTCCGTATATTCTCCTCAACACCATGTTTTCTAACACCCTCAGCCTACGTTCCTCCCTTAAAGACAGAGACCAAGTTTCACACCCATACAGAACCACTGGTAAAATTATACTTTTGTAAATTCTAATTTTTATGATTTTAGATAGCAGATGAGAAGACAAAAGGTTCTGGACTGAATGGTAGCAAGCATTACCCAAGTTCAATCTCCTCTTAATTTCCTCCTCAATGAGGGTTTGAATTGTTATTGTCATTCCCAAATATCTGAGCTGTGCCACATTTTCAAAACAACCTCTTTCATATCTTTATGTCATGATTTTGCCCTGCATTCTGGTGATGAGACAGCAATACATACTTAAATGTCTATGTATCACAGTCCATCAATAATGCAACAATTATTAAAATATTCACCATTTAACCCTTAACATGTGTTAAACGGTGAATATTTTAATAATTGTTGCATTATTGACGGACTGTGAGACACAGACATTCAATTAAAGATATGGAACAGGATGCTGAAATACAGAATAATATATACTTAGTTTTCTCTGTGTTTACTTCTAAAGCAACCTCCTTACTAGCATCAATTAATGTCTGTGTGTTTTTCTTTATGGTATCTACATTATCACCCAGCAGATTCACATCATCAACACAGACCAACAGCTGATGTGTCCCATTTAAGTCCAACCTGTTTTTCCCGGACATACCTAAAGACATATTCTAAAGCAAAGTTCAAAAGCAGTGGTGATAAATTCCAATTGGGATAGCAAAGATACGAAAGATTGAATGCTGACAAAAATGTACAAAGAAATCAAGAAATTTATAAATATGACAATAAGTTACCTTATAAATTTACTAACAAAGAAGAGAGAAACATGATAATTGTATGATGTTATTAAAAGAACTGAAGAGATAAAATAAAAACAGAAAGAGGCCTGTAAAGTCTGGAACAGTTTATGCATAATTAATCGGATAATAGGTAATGATATACACAAAAACATCATTGCAGATGGAAATTACAGAGATGATTTAGATACAAGTATGTTCGATGGAAAAATAAATCTTAAAAGGTTGAAAATGCAGAAACGTCTGGGAATAATGATACTAGCATGTCTCCAGACATGGTAAAAACTGCAAGGCCAATTGGAATTAATGTCTGTATGTTAGTACTGAGGATGCTTTAGAGACACAAAGATCACGCATAATTGGAGAAAAGGAAGTCTTGTTCTAATTTATAAAACAGGTACATGGGTATGTAAAAACTACACAGAAATAATGATAAAATATGTCTCAAATTTTTTCAACAATTAATGCAATAATTATATAAAACTGAAGGATAAATAATTCATTCATTCATCAGTAATCTGTCAGATGACAGGTTCACAGTCTCTTCCAAAACAGTTCCTCCACTTAATGCAACCTAGAGCTTTCTCCTTCAAATGAGAATCCTCTTCTGTCCCCAAGGTCATCCAGCATCTTCTTATGTCTTCTTCCTTGTCTTCTGCGTAAGATATGACCAATCCAATTAGCCTTCCGTTTTCTTATTTCATGTAGGATATTCCTCTGCTCACTGACTCTAAATAACACTTCATTTCTCACATAATCGGTCCAACTGATCTTCTCCATCCTTCTCCAACACCACATTTCAAAGCTTTCCAGGTGTTTCTGATCTACTGCCCTAAGTGTCCAAGTTTTAGCCCCATACAAAGCCATGCTCTAAATGTAGCATTTCACTAGTTTCTTTCTCAAATATAAGTCCAATTTGCTGGTAAAAAGATTGTTCTTCTTGCTAAATGCAGCTTTTGCCATGGCAATCCTAGATTTAATTTCACAAGCACACCTTTCATCATCTGTTAGCAAGCTACCCAAATATTTAAAACATTTCACATTCTCCAGTTGTTTTTGGTCTATCTTTATTGTAACTGGGGTTGGTTGTATCAAATTTTCATTACATTTGTTTTTTCCACATTCATTTCCATGCCATAGCACCTTCCAATTTCGATTAGTCTATCAATCATACCCAGTAGCACAGTTTCTTCCTTAGCCATTAACACAAGGTCATCTGCATATTTCACAGTTTGAACAATTTGCCCTCCTAATTTGAAGTCTCCAAGCCCATCCAGAGCTTCCTTGGTAAGGCATTCGCTGTACAAGTTGAACAAAATTGGTGATAAACAGCATCCTTGTCGAACTCCTCTTCCAATCTGCACACTTCTTGTCTCCCCTCTGTCCAGTCGCACTCTAACTTTCTGATCCATGTACAATTTGCTAATCAATCTTCTTTCACGCAAATCGATACCTGTTTCTTTTAGGATCTGCATTAATTTGGTCCAGTTTACACGGTCAAATGCCTTCTGCCAGTCTATGAAGCAAACACACAGTTCTTCATCTATCTCCAAAGTTCGTTCCGCTATAATTCTCATCATCCCAATTGCATCCCTGGTTCCTTTTCCTCTTCTAAATCCAAACTGATCTTCTCCAAGTATATCCTCTATTTTCCTTTCAATTCTTCTTTTAAGTATCTTTGCTATTATCTTTGCTGTATGTGCAATAAGGCTTATTGTGCGATGGTCGCTGCATTTTGTAGCTTTTGTCTTTTTCTTTAAGGCAATCATTGTAACTTCTGTAAAGTCCTTGGGCCACTCTCCACTTTCATATATGGTGTTCATTAGTTTTGTCAGTGTTTTCAAACCACCTTCTCCCAGTAACTTGAGCACATCTCCAGGTACATCATCATCTCCTGTAGCCTTTCCCTTCCTCATTTCCTTGATAGCTTTTTCCACCTCACTTTGTAAAATATATGGTTCTTTCTTGTCTGTATCTACTTCTTCTTCCGGTTCCACTTCCAAGGTTTCTGGCCGATTAGGTCGATCATATAGTTCTGTAATATAATTTTCCCAAATTTTCAGCACTTGCCTCTGATCTACTATTCTATTCCCCTGGGAGTCTTCGATGTCAATATTTTGAATCCCATGGTTCTCTTTCCATCCTAGTTCTTTTGTCTTCATTTCATCAAATCTTAATGTCCTGTCCTTTGAAATTCTATAATCTCATTACATATCTTCTCAAGATATTCCTTTTTGGCCCTGTCCGTGGCTCTTTTCAATTCATTCCTCAGTCTCCTGTATTTCCTCCTGCCTTCTTCATCGTTTACATTCTTCCATTTCCTTTGCTCCTCCATTTTACTCATCATGATAAATAATATACGAGTATTTTTATAAATGAGAGTTCAATGATTGATCTGATTTTGCCATTGCTGGAAACTGTAGGAAGTGGGCAGCAATAAGAAAAGATGACGTCTTTCAGTGATAACAAAGTGCGGGACAATACAGTTAGAAAAGAAGTATGGTTTATAGGATTTGAGGTTCTTGCAGCTGTGATTATGAAGAATTCTATCTTCTGGGATGTAACACTGTGTAGTCCATTGATAGTCAACCAGTGTTACAGAGGAGTATGCTGTTTGCTTTCTTCCTTGGCTCATGCTTCAGCCCTGAAGATGGAGACAACACATTTCTCCAAAACATCAGCTGACTTTCATCGGACTATAAGGCATCATATCCCAGAAGACAGAACTCTTCAAGCATGGTTTCGGTTGCAGGCTGATTGATTGATAATACACATAACTGCAGGTAGTGTTCCAAGAATCTGGTGTTGTGGGATAGCAAAGCATGGCCTGCCTGTGTGACTCATTTACCTGACAATGAAGACCAAGGATGACAAACCAAATTGTTGAATTATATACAAAGAAGTAAAAACTGAGTAAAAATGTATGGTACTTAATGAAAATAGTATGAAACACACTGTGACATGTAGGTCCATTTCTAGGAAACGAGTTAGCAAACACGTTTCTACAGAAATATGATTCTTGGACACAAACCATCACTGGGTGATGAATGAAAGTTATAGACCATTGGAAAGCAGCTGGTTGCTGTGGAATCAACAGGTGTGTCCATGGATATAACATTAACAGTTGCTGACTCTTGGAAAGCAGCTGGTTGCTGTGGAATCAACAGGCATGCCCAAGGATATGAGAATGAAAGCTACAGACTCTTGGAAAGCAGCTGGTTGCTGTGGAATCAACAGGCATGCCCAAGGATATGAGAATGAAAGTTGCAGACTCTTGGAAAGCAGCTGGTTGCTGTGGAATCAACAGGCATGCCCATGGATATGTGAATGAAAGTTGCAGACTCTTGGAAAGCAGCTGGTTGCTGTGGAATCAACAGGCATGCCCATGGATATGAGAATGAAAGTTGCAGACTCTTGGAAAGCAGCTGGTTGCTGTGGAATCAACAGGCGTGTCCATGGATATGAGCAAATAACAAACACTTCTTAGGATGCCACTATGCTATATAAGCAGCCATTCAGATAATAAGAGATTCAGTCATAATTCATTCGTAAATCAGTCAATGTGAGTCACTGTCAGTCGGTTGTCAGCTGAAAGTCAGCCTGTGAAGGGAAGACTAGAAGAGATGACAGATCAGTCCAGTCAGAACTGAGCCAGTCTCAGGCACCCATTTATTGTCAGTTATTGTAATTGGTTGTGATTAAGAGAGACTGTAACATTATGATGGCACTGTCCAAATATACTTCAGGCATTTAACAATGTCCAAAATAATAACCATATAAAAAGGAAGAAATAACCACAGCAGAAACCATAAACAATGACATAAGATACATATACTAAAGTAGAGAAAAAGTAGACACACATGAATAAAGCACAAGGGGAAACTTGAGTTGCAGGACAACCCACTGTGGTAGGAACACTACTAAATGGACGACGATGATGATGATGATGATGATGTTGATGATGATGATCATCATCATGAATAGGAGGAGTAAAGATCTGAATTTCTGCAAGTACATATGGAAGCTACAACATACTTTAATACCATCACTTTGATAATCATTAACATATTTATAATTTTTGCCTGCAAGGATAATGATATCTGAATATAGATACACTGCCTATTAACACATTCTATACCTGAAAAAAGATAAAAAATATTGACATGAAACAACTAAGATTTAGAACTTTGGATATGATTTAAAATGCATCAGTGTGAATATAAACATACTACATCATGAAGCATGACACCTTAGAAATGCCTTAGCACTTTAAACTGAAAATGAATTTTGTAATCATGCAAACCCAAAGCCAGGCTCAGATCATTAATTAGAATAAGTAATTTCTTTAACAAGACCTACTGTCATTATTATATTTAAGTTTCTTTCAGCAGTCTATCACCATACAGAATTTAAGAATCCAAAGTTAAATAGCATTACTGATACTCTAACTCAGAAGTATGCAATGCTTTCATGATGCTATTACTGTGAGTAGTCAAATAAAAATTGTAAAGTGTGATTTTCCAGTGTCATGATATTCGTACTAACTTCCATGAAAATCTCTTAATTGGTCAAAAGCGTATTAAGGGAAGACACAATAGACAACAAGACAGAATTATATGTGAATAAGGAGAATACAAAAAAGGAAATACAATCAATACATGTTCAGTAAATTTGACTGTTGAGATGATTAACTATTCTGTATGTAGCAACAAATGCTGTGTGCAAAGTTTCACAGTAGTTACATGTTCAATTTTGTTTGCACAATCACAGCTTATTCTGACAGCTCACAATAAGTATCAAAAAGTCTTATTATATTCATGTTATTATGTATTTACACAAGGCAGTATGGGCAGAATGAAACAGAATTCTAGGGTGTCATGAAATATAGGAAATAAAATTCTACCAGTTGTCTTCTAAAATATATGAAAAATGTAATTCCTTAAATATTTACTTATTTGTAGTTTATGCATAATGGTGTTAGTACCGCAGACTATATGGCTTCAAATGACTGGACGGTAATGAACTATGCAATGAAAAGAATGTGGATGCAGGTGGTCCTGGCCTAATTTAATGCATTTTCCTGATATCTGACTAGAGAAGTTAAGGAAAACCATGAGGAAACCTCACTCGTTCTAACCAGTGTTCTAGCTGACATTCAAACTAGACACACCACGAACACAAGACAGAAGTGTTACCACTTGAGTCAGTTGGTTTGAATTATCTATTTACCTTAGTCTAATGCTAAAGTTACGAATGTTCAGGATATACCACCATTCCCCATACATTTTGAGTGTGCGGTGCTTAATTAATTAAGCCCAGATAGATTTACCTTTTAACAGACATTCCTGGACCACTGAACCTAGTTCACACAATTGCACCCTATGTCTTTAATATCTGTTTCAATTGTTATTCTCCCAGATCCTCCAATGCTTCCATTCACATTTTCAAACTAAAATTTTGCATTTCTCATTACTCCACACATGCTACCTGTTCAGCCTATCACATGATCCTTGGTATGATCATACCTTGTCAGAATAACATGGTACATATTCAGATTGTGGATGGACATGGAACACGCAGTCACAAATAGCCAACAAGAGATGGCCCCACAGCTTAGGATATAGGCCGAGGTCTAATAACCGCCCCACCATAAAGACACTAGCATGTTACTGTTTTACAGGACAGGGTCACTATATTCGACTGTAAAGTAAGACGGCACCACATATGAAATACTCGTTAAATAAATACATTGCTACTCACTCAGTTCTTCAATTTCCATTGATGCCTGAAGAAGAGTGAAAGCCTTCTTCATGATACAGAAACCATCAAACGTTGTAACCTCCCAAGAATTTCCTCCAGTTTCATCATGTACTTTATTTACATTCGAAAACACTGAAATGAAAATGTCATGATTTAAGGGTTGTGACTACAGATGGGGTATGGACTGAATAGATTTATTGACCACTTGTATACATCACTCAGAACTACACTTTACAGATCACTGACATACACAGACTAGTGCGCTCAGTCTATTACAGTCTTCACTAGTAATTCCATGGCAAAAACATCTACTGAGGGAGATTACTGAATAGCAATCACTGTACTCGTTGTCCATTTCGAGGTCTCTGCCCAGCAATGGGTCTGTGGGAACAGCCCACATTCAAGCAAGTGTGACAATGCAAGTGTCATTGCTTAGCAACGACGAGTAAACAACGGTTGCTAGGGAACTTATAAACACAGTGTCCGGCACCAGCAGTGCCTATTACGTAACCGTTGTTTACACGCTTTTGCCTAGCAACCGTTGTCTACTCGTCGTTGCTAAGCAATGACACACTTACTTGAATGTGGGCTGTTCCCACAGGTCTATATGCCACAACTTAAGATATTTGGACTGAAAAAAAATTAACTCTTAACTGGTATGTACAGAATATCATGAAATGATAAGTGTAACTGAGCATATATACTCAGCATCAAAGCATGACACCTGATGTTATAATTTCACATCTAAAATTCTCTCTCATTCATACATAATGCTTTGTAGTCCATATGTCTCATAAAACCTATCAGTACTCATCATTCATCACTCATCACCATCATACAAGCATTCAAAGCAGATGTACTAAATTTAAAGAGAAACCTTGGATTATAACCCTTTTACTTGTACATTTGAGAAAGTTCAAAACTTCTGGCCCCCTGAATTTCATTCATTCTGTTAAGGACTTACTGCAAATTATACAGAATCACAACAGACAAGCCTGATATATAAATAAATAAATGCACAACTTTGGAAGAGCTTCAGTTAATTCCATTCAATTACCTTGCTCATTATTCAGAAGTAACACTCTAGCTTCATTCAACTCTAGATCCTCCAAACTTGCAGTTCTCCGCAATACCTCCAGGGTACTATGTTCCTTTGTCAGCTCTAAAAAGTCTCTGTTGTTAAAAGAATATCTATGACCATGCTTCCTACACCACTGCATTACTAATATCTGGTGATCCACAACAGAGCACAGGGAGGAAAAAACTGGGTCACTGATAACTTTCTGTAATAGCAAAGACAAGAGCAATACAATTTGAATGTACAGCATGTGAAAGTAACACATGAAAATGTAAATGAATATACAAACAACAAAAATGGAAAAATCTACCCAAGAGTTTACAAATGCATTTTCTTGAATTCTACATTATTCATGGATGTTGATTTAGAAATCTGTTACAGATCTCATCAACAACACTGTATCTGCAATTATGGCTTATAATGCAATCAGAATGGAATTAATTTTCAGAGTTTTGGAGACTGTCTCTGCCTCCATCACTACAGACTGATGTCTGGTAATGCAATGTTTATGGCCCAAGGGTTATGTCCAAGTAGATATGTTTTTTTGGGTAAATTTGGAATAAGTGTATCTAGACTTTAAGATTAAGATATAGAAATAATGAAACGTACCAGGAAGCTTGGGTTTGCAAAGAAGTGTAACAGACAATCGCTTTGTAATCAGAATGTTAGCGCGACAGCGTAATAACGCTGACACTGAGGAAGAAGCTGTATGAAGTGGGTCATAAAAACTATGGCATGAGGAAATCACTGAGTCGGAGAGGGTGGTAGACCTGAAAGAGCCCAGCCCCTTTCGATAAACAGCCAATGAGTGGGCCACACCGACCCAAAATTACGTCAGGATGGGCGGGTGAATACACCCCCGGAACCCAGCGAGTCAGCAAAAAGAGGGTACATAAACTCTAGAGGAATCAATCAAAAAACTTTTTATTATTACTCGTCAAAGAGTCAGCCGTAGGTTATCACCAAGAGAGTGATGGCGATGAGTAGTTGTTGGTTGGTGATGGCAGCCTGTTTCCTCAGCTCACGTAAGTAGATTTACTTCATATAGCCATGAAGATTAAGTGTGATGGTATTAAAGTGCAAACCCCAGGGAGAGAAAGTGAAGACTAGATGGACTAGGTTTACTGAGAAAGAGAGAGAGAGAGAGAGGAGGATAGAATACCCAATAGCAGGGTGACAGGAGTAGAAATAATGTGTGTGCTACAGGATAATAACCCACATGTAATGCGAACCGACGAACATCGGCAAATGGTGTATATAATATGTATATAGCGACATAGGTGTATAGAGTAGGATAGAAATACGCTGTGATGTTATTTGAACCTAGCATTCCCTCAAGTGTTATCATCTTCCCTGCTGACTCCAGCCTCCCTCCGAATCCTCCAGGAGAATTGCAAACTCAAGCCAAGGCAGCGACGTCAGTGATTGTGAATTTACCTGAGCCCCTCCCTAAGACTTAACAAGATGGTGGCAGCACGACGCCTTGGTGGCAGTGGTGGGACACCTCCACGCCCCCCATCACCATGGCAGAAAAGCAAGCATTCAGGTTCCACGAAAGATTCATTTCTTGTGGGACACTGGACGTTACAGATCTTAGTCACATTCATATTTTGTTACATACCACTTTCTTATACAATGAACTGTTTTACATTGCATAAAGCAGAAGTTATGATGGCATATGTCAAAATTAAATTCACCTGCTAGTTTCAGTTTAAACAGTTTCATACAAAATTCCATTCCAGGTCAAGAGGTTTGGGAGGTGAGACATGTGTACAGATGGACAAAAATATATGGATTATTTACTCATTTTATGCCTTTATGTAACTGACACATAAAAACCCAAAAGAATGAACGATGTTATATTTTAGCGTCCTGTTACACTGATTCATGTCCATGGTTTATGCTAACCGTCTTACAGTGTATACACTTTTCCACCTTATTCTTCACTTCCACACTATATGTTTCAGCACTAATGTGCCATCCTCAGGTGTCTTTATGCATGTTTAACTATTGTACTGCATGCCATGATGTCTTCATTCTAAAATGACTAAAATCTGTATTCGTCATATATGTCGATGAATTCTAAATAATAAAATTTTTCAGGATTCATCCTACGTCGCACTCAAACAGGCGAATTACGCCAATCCTCTTTTATGTGAGCATTTTTCTTACATACATTTGTACTGAGCAGTACAACGCACGCAGTAACAGGAGCAAAAAACAACACAGAACACGATACACAAATGTATGTAGGAAGAATGCTCACATAAAAGAGGATTGGCGTAATTCGCCTGTTTGAGTGCGACGTAGGATGAATCCTGAAAAATTTTATTATTTAGAATTCATCGACATATATGACGAATACAGATTTTAGTCATTTTAGAATGAAGACATCATGGCATGCAGTACAATAGTTTAATGTGCATAAAGACACCTGAATATGGCACATTAGTGCTGAAACATGTAGTGTGGAAGTGAAGAATAAGGTGGAAAAGTGTATACACTGTAAGATGGTTAGCATAAACCATGGACAGAATGAACGATTTCAAAATGCATTTAAACTTTGATTCAACAGCTTCAATTTTACTGCAGTTTTTTAGATGTGCTAGGTTCACTTTCATCAAAGATGATAATTTGACAAAGGTAAGACATGACATTAGTAAAAATTTCAAGAACAAAGCAGTGAAATTTCTAAAAAATAAAATTAATGAGCTGGAAACAAACACTAAAAACAAGAATATCAGTGGTTTGCATAAAGAATAAATGACGTGGAGGAAAACATATGTAAATAAATATGGTTAGTAAAGTAAAGGTATCCCTGTAACAGGCAGTGGAGGCCCATAGGGTTGTGAGATGTTGAGGTTCCCACATTTTCTAGACAATCGGCTCATAGATGGCGGTAAGGTTGTCAGCTGTACGCGCCTGCCAACCTTTACCCCCAAGAATATTCCAAGAATATTCCTGGTACTCATCTCTGTTAGAGGCTGAGTCTACCCCAGGGCCATAGTCTGGCTGGAAGGATTAGGTAAACTGAAAAAATCCACTTCATCAGGATTCGATCCCGCTACTTTCTGGCTTGTAGCATAGTGCCTCAACCAACTATGCTACCATGTATGGTATGTATGTATGTATGTATGTAAGGGGTGGGCCATAAAAACCGGCCCATGCATTGTGACCTTCAATGATCTATTGAGCTTCCCTTTGGATTAGCCCTTTATTAATCCTACACTTTTAATAAAGTGTAGGACCCTGTGGGTGTCATAAGTGTCACTTGGTTCCATAAAAAAACTGACCCAAGTGACGATCTCTTAAATAAGCTATGGCCTCACAATCACACAGGACGTGTATGGCTGATTCAACCGCATATGGTAACTCATATAATTTTATATATGCAGGGCTGTGGCAACTTTGAGAACCTTCAGGTTCAACTATTATACACACCTTTTTAACAGGACATAGTTACTAAATCCTGAAGGAAGGCCACTCACCAGAATGAATGTTTAAATTAGTTTATAAGCCACATAAAGGTTAAACCTTAAAAATCATCATATACATACCTTGCAATGTTCAAGGAGAAAGCTCAAAACCAAGAATATTTCATTCCTATCTGCAAAATTCTGCCATACTTGAAGCAGTACTAATGGCCACAATTTACTTATTGTGTGATGGGACAAAAGTTTCTTCACAACTTCAGTGTCACTACACATTACAAGGTGACTACATATTTCCTGTAAAAATTCACATGCACACTTAGTCTTTTGATAAAAAAGTAAAAAAGTGCACATGTCCTGCTCTTGGCAAAGACCTGACAAGGTATGGGCCACAGCTTGCTTCTCAGGTTACACATGTTGTTTTCCAGGTACAACTGATGATGTCAGATACAGGAGTAAAGCACTGGGTGAACTGTGTTGCCTGGCCTGCACATACATCTTGTATCATCTGAATTGTTCAAGAAACTGCTCAGCTGACATTGAGGGTGAGGTTGCCTAAGCATAAGTAAGAAACATCCTGAAGGGTGACACACCCATCTAAAAGTAGCACTAAAGGTCTAGTGATAGCTCAGTTCAGTTCAGTGCAGCATAGAATACAGGAGTGTTCAATTAGCCTCTGCAGCCAGTGAGTGAGTGAGTGAGTGAGTGAGTGAGTGAGCAAGTACTCAGTCAGCTCTCCATTCAGCAGTGCATAGGAATTCAAAGAAGAGCTGAATGCAGTGTGTGAGCAGTGGTGTTGCTGTAAAGAAATGAGTAAACTAATCTCAGTAGTCTATATGGTTACAGACAGTGGAAGAGTAAGATCTGAGGTTCTCACATTGTTGGTTATGAAGAGTTCTACCTTCTGGAATATAACATTATGTAGTCTGTTAAAAGTCAGTGGAAGTTTCACAGGACCATATTGCCTCCATCTTTAGTGTACCAGAATAGGCCAACCAAAAAACTAGCATGAACCAGTTAGAAAGCAGAAAAATCCACCTGGTGAAAACTTGGGTTTATATAAGAAACAGGAATGAACTGCAAGACAACTCATAAATTCCCACTGGCTTGCTCACAGAACAGAGTGAACCAATATGAATGTAAGAAAACATGTCAGTTCCCATATACTTTTTCACAAAACTGAATGAACCAATAGAAGACAAGGACAACTACTCATAGTGTGGACCCTGAAAAGAGCTGCTAATGCATATCTGGGAACCCTGGGGAGATAAGTACAAGTAGCATGGGAATGATGGGCAGAAAACAAGATTGGACAGAGGTCATCTGTTTGGGTCATATGCACATGGTGAGGGATAAAAAAGCAACAGTAGTGAAGGAAAGACAAGACAAGAAACAAAAGCTTAGGGCTGACGGGAGCCCAGACAGGTCACAGCTCATGCTCTGATTAGGGCCCACAGAGAATCCTGTGAGGGAGACTTCTTGCAATCTTTCAAAGAGAAAATGAGAGGTTTCCATGATTTACTTAGGCAGAAGCCATCCTACCTCTTCATATTACTGGCATGGAGTTCAACCTTAGTTGTCTCCTTTTGCCTTCATAACTTGACTTTCATTGCCTTACATGATGTTAAATCCCAGAAGACGGAACTCTTCAGTGGGACAGTAAGTGCTCTAAATATTGACTGATAAAGTTCTAATATTAACTTTTACTCAGCAAGGAAATTCCCTGTATATGAACATTTCCATGACCAGCACTTCCAGCCCACCATTTTTAGGGTACAATAACCATCTGCAGTATTCCACAGTTAACTCATTAAATTCAACTTGATTTATATAGTAATAAAAATGAAAGCTCCAAAAATTTTATTACATGCACAAAATTATAAATCTACAAGTTCAAAATTATCTAAATTACAAATATATTTGTTTGGAATACAGATAGAAGACATTAGTTCACTACCATCCTTATATCTTACCACAATATCCTCAATCCAATGTTTTTCTTGTTTCATAACACGCAGGAACATTTCTTCAATCTGTATGTTGCCAAATGAATCTAACAATTTACCACAAATTCCCTTAAGGACCAGTGTATCACTGACAGCACTCCATCTCTTATATCTTTCATCCTCTGCATTCATGAGCAGCGTAGTCAGTTTAAGCTTTCTCCGTGATACAACACCCAGGAACAAGAGTTGTCGAGAAATAAGTCCTGATTCACATAAATCCAACAGCCAACAGCAGAAGCGTTCAACAAGTTTCCTTTCTTTATCTTCTGACAACTCAAGTAAAGAAAGAATACACACCACTGTGTTGCACAGGTCTTCTGTACTCTGATCACATGTGGGATATGTGAGGACATCTGAAACACATGTTAGAAATGTATATACAAAAATTAAAGAAACTGAGTTTGATTTGTTTCATTCTGGTCCATCACAATAACATTGGACGGACTGATTTATAATTTGTAAAGAAAATGAAGTTTTAAAAAAAACTACACTATAAAACACGAATATCTGAAAAGAATATGTAACGCGTGTCTTCTTCTGGATGCTTTAATCTATAAAATTTGATTTAATTTGATTTATGTTAGCAGGAAGAAGGGAATATATTAATCTTTTCCGGTCATCACATTTAGAAAAATTTCTGCAACCAGGTCATCAGGGTTTTAAATGCCTGCTGAGCCAATAAGTGAACTCTTGCCCAAAAAGTTGGTGCAACATGGGCACACAGTTATCAGGCCAAATGTCTACTTACATTTTCGATTGTCAAATTCTTGGGCCAACTCAACACTGCTATAATATCTGTCAGTGAAATGGCGGTAGTCTTCAGTACTAGACACACTGAGTCATAGTCTGTCAACCAAGGAAGGAAAGAACTATTCTTGAAATGAACGGTTTTTCTAAGTATAATATTATATTTCAGCATCCTGTTACACTCACACAATATACATGGACAAATACTGTCTTAAGTGCAACAATTTTATTGTAGTTTTTACTTCTTTTTCCTCCTCCACACTACATGTTTCGGCCCTAAATGGCCATCATCAGGTGTGTATCACTCACGTAACTGTTACACTGCTTGTTAAAAATGTAAAAATCCCAGTCTTTCTAATTGTATAAAATCTTTGTTAATCTACACNTACGTATTAAAGATAAGCAGCGACACACACAGAGAGCGCCTACACTGAACAACACATGAACAGCGATAAAAACAAGAAGTGGCCGCTGCAGCACCGTAGATATAGGGCATGTACCCTGAAAAATTTTAATTTGAAAAAGAAAGAGAACAAAGATCTTATAGACATTTTAACTTGAATTAAGGTTTAAAAAGTGCTAATTTAAAAATCAAATCGACGCGTGTAGATTAACAAAGATTTTATACAATTAGAAAGACTGGGATTTTTACATTTTTAACAAGCAGTGTAACAGTTACGTGAGTGATACACACCTGATGATGGCCATTTAGGGCCGAAACATGTAGTGTGGAGGAGGAAAAAGAAGTAAAAACTACAATAAAATTGTTGCACTTAAGACGGTATTTGTCCATGTATATTTTCTAAGTATGGTAAGTTACACATGTTGCCTGGAAGTTTTTTGTAATTTGGAATTATACTGTAAATGTAACCAGTGTCACTTTCAGCTAATGCAAATAATCTGATACCCCACTTTGTTTGTTTGTTTCTTTCTTTCTTTTTAATATAAGTATTGAAAACTATTTTGCGATTGCTGATTCACCTATTACAATGTTTCTACCTGGCATATAACTTTTCTGAAATTGTTTCTCTATATGTTTTATCAACCAATGTACTTTCCTGTCCTTTTGATGGCCAGATTGCTTTATTCAGTGGCATCATTTCCCCACATGCACCATCGCCCGTTGTCATGACTTCCCACACACCCACGCAACAACACTTGTTTAGCTCTCACTCTCACTTTCTGACATTTCATTGCTCGATTCTTCACTCACAGTTTCTCCTTCAATTCCCAAATCCATCTCGTCATTATAGTCAATATCGAGTTCTTCACTTAACATATCACTAATAGATTCTTCATCCACTTCACACAAAGGATTATATCTAGTTCCTTTAATCCAGAGGGCCACGGTTTGGCTGAACATAAAAGCATGCTACTGACACATGACATGCAATAACATATAAATGGCATTTGTTCCTCAAGAAGTATAAATTATGACTTCCAGATGGCAGGAGGAGGAATACAAAACATTCTTGCATGACCTGCTATAGTCTATATGCCAACTAGCGATATATGATCGAAATATGACTGCAGAAACACAAAACAAACTCTGTTGAATACGTGGAGCAATCCAAAAGTTACTGAAATTTGAATTTTGCGCGTGAATGGTTACGAGTACATCGAGATACCGCTAGGTGTCTCCTCACACATCCTTCTTGAATCAGTGTGGCAAGCAGCGTCGATTTGAGTGGTTGGGTTTATTGTTGGTGAACGTATTTCCATTGTTGTGTTTCTGTGAGTTTGCGGTTTTGTGATAGCTGACCTGAGAGAGCAGCGTGTCTGTATAAAGTTTTGTTTCAAACTTGGGAAAACCGCTGCAGAAACGCACCAAATGTTGAAGCAAGCTTTTGGTGAAAACAATTAAATTTATAGATGCCTGTCAGGCAAGGAGCATAAATAAATATCTGAATATAAAACACAAATTGTTAAATTGCAACGCAAACATCCACTTTAACAGAACCTGTATCAATCTTCAGCTAACATCAAGATATGCAAAAAACAGAATAAATTCACAAAATAAAGCAATGAAACAACGCCTCACTAATAAAATACAAGAAATAAGAATAAAGAATGAATTAAAACATTGCTATAAAAAAAGCAATTTTTAAAGAAACAATTATATGACTTACATTTAGAAAATGGCAGAACATGGGGAAAAATATGGCACATAATAGATAGAAATATCTCACATAAACTTGACATAAGAATGAAAGAAAAATACCTAATAATCAATGCCAAAATAGAGAAATTAAAAGCACAAGAGGCAACGGAGACACAGGAAAGTAGAAAAAGATACAATAATAAACCACAAGAAGATAAGCACATATTCTTTAAAAGAACAGAAAATTTAACAAACATTACCTTCACAGAAGACGAAATACAACTACTCAACAAAGGACTGAAATATAACCTACATGCGAAACCTAAGGACTGGATACAAACACTAGGATTAGAAGCAGAAATAGGAATAAAACTATTACCAATAAAAGAACAAAATTATATGCGACATTTAGTAGCCAATAATATACAAAAACTAATAAATATGCAACATTCAAGAAAAGAAAGGAATAAAATAAAAGAGGCAAAAAAAGAATGGCACACAATGAAAAGAATATGATACAAATTACAACATAACCAACTAGTAGTAACAAAAGCTGACAAAGGCAACACACTCGTAATATTACACAAAAACGAGTACGATAAGAAAATTGATGAATTCTTATCTGCCAATAATTTCACAGAACTAACTAGAGATATTACAAATAAACAACAGGAAAAGATATGGAAAATAACTAATAAATGCAGCAACATTATAAAGAAAGAAGAAAAATGGAAATACATAAACATGAACCCAAGTGCACCACAGTTATACGGCACCATTAAGCTCCATAAACAAGAAAAATCAATAAGACCTATAGTCAACTGGAGAGAGTGCCCAGCATATAAATTAGCAAAACTACTAAACGTTATATTACAAGAAACTCTACAGCTGCCATATACATTTAATATTAAAAATTCACCCACCCTTATCCACGACTTAATGAAAAATGAAATAAACGAAACCACCAGAATTTGCTCATTCGACATTATTAACATGTATACTAATATACCAACAGA